ATAAAGAGCTTTTGTCAATTTTAAAACATGATCCGGAAAATTTGAATCTTCAAAACCTGGAGGTTGTTCCACGTACACTTCTTCTTTTATAAAACCATTTAAAAATGCAATTTTACATCCATTTGATAATTTAAATTCATTGAAACATGCAAATGCTAATACATTCTAATTGCTCCATCCTAGCTACGGGAGCGTATGTTTCATCATAGTCTGCCCTCTTCTTGAGTATAGCCTTGAGCACAAGTCTAGCCTTGTTCCTCACTATATTACCACTTTCATCAAGTTTATTTCTAAAAACACATCTAGTACCTACAGTAGATTTATTAGTAGGCCTTTCAACTAATGTCCATACTTTACTTCTCTCAAATTGATTTAATTCTTCTTGCATAGCCATAATCCAATGTTCATCTTTTAATGCTTCTTTGATGTTCTTAGGTTCTATGCATGAAATAAATGCAACATAATTACAGATATTTTCTAAGAGAAGATCGAGTAGTTTACCCCTTTTGATGGATCACCTATAATTTCACCATCCTTGACATAGTTGTACTCTCTTGGAAAAGATACTTCCCTTTCTCACTGGTTGGATTCTCGAGGGGATCATGAGTTTCCTCATCTTGTTTCTTCCTTTGATGATGATTCTCCACGTTATGTCTAACGTCATTTGCTTGTACAATACCTACATCATCATTAACAGAAGAATCCTTCCTCGGAAGGGGATTATCATCGAAAACAACATGTATAGACTCTTCTACAACTAAAGTTCTTTTATTAATACACGATAAGCTTTAGAATTTAAGGAATAACCCAGAAAAATTCCTTCATCACTTTTAGCATCAAATTTGCCAAGGTTTTCTTTACCGTTGTTTAAAACAAAACATTTACATCCAAAAGGATGAAAATAGCTAATGTTAGGCTTTTTATTTTGAGAATTTCATATGGAGTTTTCTTTAAAATTGGCCTAATCATTACTCGATTTACAACATAACAAGCGGTATTTGTGGCTTCTGCCTAAAATATTTTGGCAAATTATTTTCACAAAGCATGGTTCTAGCCATTCTTCTAAAGTTTGATTTTTCCTCTCAACAACTCCATTTTGTTGAGGGGTTCTAGGTGCTGAAAATTTATGGCTAATACCATTAGAATTACAAAACTCAATAAATGCAAGATTTCAAATTCAATTCCATGATCACTTCTAACACTAGTGATAGAGTAACCTTTTTCATTTTGGATTATTTTTGAAAATGTGATGAAATTTTCTAATGTTTCATCTTTAGTACTTAAGAATAGAACCCAAGTGTATCTAGAATAGTCATCTACCAAGACAAATGCATATTGTTTTCCTCCCAAGCTAGTAGTTCTAGTTGGCCCAAAAAGATCTAAATGGATCAATTGTAATACTCTACTAGTTGATACATCATTAATAGATTTAAAAGAAACTCGTTTTTTGTTTTCCTTTAGCACAAGCATCACAGATTTTATCATTATCAAATTTAAACTTAGGCAACCCTCTTACTAAGTCTCCTTGAATTAACCGTTGCAAAACACTCATACTAGCATGACCTAGTCTCCTATGCCATAACCAACTATCATGCTCATCTTTAGCAACTAGGTATAAATTAGTCATATCAATAAAATCTAAATGCACCATGTAAATGTTTCCTATTCTATGACCAACAAGCATAATCCGATTAGATGCAATGTCAATGACTTTACAACCATTAATTTCAAATAAGACATTGAATCCTTTATCGCATAATTGACTAATACTCAATAGATTATGCTTTAATCCATTCACATATAAAACATTCTTAATTTGTATGGAAGAGGTATTACCTATTGTACCAATACCTTCAATGTGACCTTTTGAATTGTCTCCAAAAGTCACTTCTCCTCCATTTTGGCGTTAAGCTCAATGAACCGGCTTTTGTCTCCGGTCATATGTCTAGAGCATCCACTATCAAGGTACCATGAATTTGAATTTGTTTCCCGTGCCTTGTAGCAATGCTCCTTTCCCTACAAACATAGATTAATTTTTGATTTTTGGTACCCAAATTCTTTTGGGTCCATATTCATTAATTTCCAAAATCCTAGTCCCCTTAGGTATCCATTGTGTAGGATTTTTATCTTTAGTAGTAATGAGTTCTTTAGGAACCCACATACTTCTAATGATTTTTCCATTAGAGGTTCTTTGGGGACCTCTATGATTGTAGTTTCTAAAACTTTTTCTAACAAAGTTGGATTTTGAATTTCCACCTTTTCAAAATGTTTTGTTCCAACTTTATCAAAAGAAGTTTTAAGATCATCAATTTTCTTTTGATGATCATCATTGATCTTTGAAAGTAAATTTTGCAAATCTAAATTTTTCTTTTCAAACTCTTATAGTTTGATTTGCAAATCTTTGATTTTACTTTCAAGATCGTTGTTGGTTTTGTATATGAGTTTGTTTTCATTTTTCAATTTTGAAACATCATTTTTATATTTTAAAAACAATTTCTCATAATCCGAAGCCAACCCATTGTACTCCTCAATAACTCATCATAAGATAAATCATCAAAATCGGATGAGTTAGAGGTTACCTTTGAATCTTCCCCGAATGCCATCAAGCACAAGTTTGCTACTTCTTGTTCCTCTTATCGGAACTTTCTTCATCGCTCCATGTAGCCACATGAGCCTTGTGCTTATTCTTTGATTGACCCTTTTCTTCAATTGTGGGCAATCATATTTGACATGCCCCGACTTTTTGCATTCATAGCAAATGATTGGGTCCTTCTCTTTTGGTTCATTTTTGAGGCATTCGTTTCGTTTGAATTTTCTTCCTTGGTAAGGTCTCATCATTTTTCTGAACCGTTTGGCAAACAATGCCATTTCCTCGTCATCATCATCATTATTAGAATCACTCTCATCTTTTGTGGATTTAAGAGCAACTCCAATATTTTTCTTCTTCTCCTTTTCCTTTGGTGTCTCTTCAACTTTATCAAGGTCCACCTCATCTTCAAGCATCATCTCATGAGTGAGAAGTGAACCGATAAGTTCTTCAAGAGTTAAGGACGATAGGTCCTTAGACTCGATGATTGCCGTCTTCTTTGATTGCCATGATTTTGGGAGGGAGTAGACTAACTTCCTCACAAGCTTTTCATTTGAGATGATCTCTCCATATGATTGAGACCATTGACAATCGTTGAAAATCTATCCGTCATAGCTTTGATGTCTTCATTTGGTTTCATCCTGAAATTTTCATAGCTATGCGTTAGAATACTAATTTTTGATTTCTTTACCTCATCTGTACCTTCATGTGTGACTTGAAGCTTGTCCCATATTTCTTTGGCGGTTGTACACGATGAAACTCTTCCGTATTCATCTGGTCCAAGAGCACAAAAAATAATATGGATGGCTTTGGAGTTGAGCTGGAACATTCTTGTCTCTCATTCACTCCACAACCTTGGATGAGTGAGAGGTTTGATGTATCCTTCTTCTACAGCATTTCATGCTCCCATGTCACTTGCTTGAATGAAGTACATCATTCTATTCTTCCAATAGGCATAGTTAGCTCCATTGAAGAAAGGAGGCTTGTTGACGGCATCGAATCGAGACCGGAGTCGAAGTTTGAAGCGGAGGCCATTGATGACTTTAATATCGATATAACTCTTCCCGAATCGACTCAAGAGGCGATTAAACCTTCAAATGATTTAGGCTCTGATGCCAATTGTTGAGTTAATCGATCGACGGAATCGGCCAAGAGGGGGTGAATTGGCAATTAAAAATTTCGTGGAAGCTTTTGCAGAAAAATTAAAAGTAATTGCACAACGATTTACAGTGGTTCGACTTTCTCAAACAAGTCTACGTCCACTACCTTAGCTATCCACACTAAGGATTTTCCAACAAATTCACTAATTTGTTCTTTCTTTTGAGGCCAAAGAGATAACCTTACAAATCCCTCAAGAGTATACCCCAACTCTTGAGAACACTCTTTTCCCAAAGAGAGATTACAATTTGCAAACTTACAAGAAAACCTCACAAAGTAAGATGTTTGCACAATTCTAGAACAAGAAAATAACACTCAAAGATAATTACAAATGAGCACAAATGGTGTTCTTGAAAGCAAAATGAATATTGAAAGGAAAATTGGCTTGATTTGCACAAACTTGGTGTTTGATGCTTTCTCTCTTGTTTCTCTATAATTTCTTGTTGATCAAGGGCTTCAGAACTTGTTTAAATACACCTTGAATCTCTTCTGAACGTTGGAGATGATTAGTGAAGATCATAGCCGTTTTAGTGTGAAAATAATTAATAAACAGTTTGGAGCGTGGGGGGAATCGGTCCCCCTATGGGGAATCGATTCCCTAAGTGTAAAATTCAAATATTTCGACCGTTGAACAGGGGGGAATCGGTACCCCCTATGGGGGAATCGGTTCCCTCCGAGCATTCTGGAAATCTCGGAGCCAAACCATTCAGGGGGGAATCGGTATCCCCTAGGGGGGAATCGGTTTCCTCTGAACAATCTGGAATTTTTGGTTTTGAAATGGTTCGAAATACTTTGAAAGATTATTTTGAAATTGTTTTAAGATTAAAACTTAATTTTACACTTAAGTAAGGATTAAAAATGATTTTTGAAATATTTTGAGTAATGTTTTGATATTCGAATAATTATATCGAATATACTTAGAAAATCATTTTGGAAAATCTTAAAATTCATTTAACTTAATTTGTTATATCGAAATATCAAAATGTTTTCAACAGATTTTATTCGTTGGGGGAGGTGAGGTCAGGTGGAGCTTCATCAACGCCAAAAGGGCGGCTGTTGGTGTGGGTTTAGGCCTTGAAATGAAAGTTTTTAAAATTTTGGGGTTTTTTAAATTTTATGTGTTTTCTTTTTAAAAAACATATAATTTTATTTTTTTAATTTATATAAATTTTTAAAATTACCAGATTGTGACATATGTCACTTAACAGAGGAAATTAACGATCCACAATATATTGACTCATTTTGAGTAACGAAATGAAATGTTTGACATCAAACTAAAACAAATAAACGTTAGACACTAAATAAAAAAATATTGGCATATGTTAGACACATTTTGTATATCGAAACCTTAAATGAATGATACACGTTTTTTATTTAATAATTAGAAATTATAATTTTAGAGTTTAATTTTAATTTTTTTAAATAAATAAGTGACAATATTTAGGGTAAGATCCTCTGACTATAAGACATTGTTTTATTGAGTCTTCATATTATTAAAAGTTATAAAATTATCATCCAATTATAAGATACTACTTTGTTGAGTCCATAACTATTAAAAGTTACAAAATGATCACTTGACATTTTATATGCTCTAAATTAATTCTTTCTCGTTAAAAAATTACTTATTTATATAAATTATACGTTAATTTATTAACTATGATATGATTAAATCATTTTTTTAATTGAAAGAAAAGTCTAATTCACTAGGCTAGGTGTAAATAGAATCATCTTCTTGTGGTATATTTACTTCCAGATCTAGGAGACTTGTAAGTTCCTCTGGGGGGAAATCAACCGAACAGTTTGGAAATGTTGCCACGAGGCTAGTTTGGCCATCTTGTCTGCAATTTCGTTCCCACTTCATGGAATGCACTGAATTTTCGTCACCCAAAGTGGATGTTTCTTCACTATCCACGAGTTGAACAGCCTGGTTGCAATCAGATATGATTCACAGTCTTGAAATACCAAGGCTCCAATGCAATGAGAAATCCTTCATAGATACCCAAAGTTTGCATGCAATATCGATGTTGTTCCTATATTCTCGGTAACCCCTGTAACCCAAACACCATTTGAGTTTCGGAGCACTACACCAATCGAGCCTCGTTCATCAATGGTAGTCACTGCCCCGTCAGTTTTTAAACACGACCAATCAGGAGGGGCTCTTAGCCTTGCACTTTTTGTCGCATGTTGTCTTCCAGTTCCAGTTGAAATTTTTATTTAGCTATCATAGCATTTTGCCCAGCTATAGCTACGGTGAATAGTTCTCTATCCCTGAAGGACAATACTATTGAAGACATACTCGTTTCTTTGCTTTCATATTTGCCATATGAGAGCAGCAAAGGCCGGATCACCTTTACACAAGGACTGTTGTAATTTAGCATCAAAGTATCTAGTGTGAGTATTTGGGGGCACAACGCGCAACCACATGTTTTGACTTTGAGGACACTCACATAAACGTTAAGAATAGTTTATAGGGTAGCACCACATGTCGGGCAAGAGTGATCGTTCGTGAACATCCGTCTGCCTCGTTCATGTTTAGTCATGATTTTTTCTTCGAGAACAAACTAGATGAATAATCTAACTCGTTGGGGGAACAAGGAGTGACCAGATTTGCTTCCATATGTTATTTTTTCATCCCAGCTACCCTCAATAAGTTTAGTATAAGCTGAATTAACATTGAAATGATGCTCCGGGTCCATCTCCATATTGGGGTGTCAAATATATCATTGTTGTCTTGAGGTTTGATAACGATATGAGAAATGGTTTCTGTAACAACCATTAATGATAAAGCTTCAATATCCCATTTGCCATATTCATCGACAAAAGTTCCGAGCCTTAAAGCAGGGTCAACATTTACATTGTATGAGCATAATCACACTGAGGCCATAGTTGAGGTACCCATAAATTATCCCAGAATCTGATTGAGTCTCCATAGCCCGTCGACCATATCAAGCAAGACATCAGGCGGTCCCAAACTTTCGTGATCCCACGCCGTGAGTGCGAGCAATGTTGTCTTACAATGAATGTTGAATACTGTAATTGCTTTTAAGCACTAGTTCGACAATATGATAATTCAAGTATTATCTCGACAACATAATGTAAATAGAGATTCTTTTCACAAAATATAGTTCAAATAATTATGGGAACACAATATTTTCAGCTCAGACGACGGATGATTTTTTAACAAAAAAGAATGAATTCAGAACATCTGAATAGTCAGATGATTATTTTATAATATTTAATAGTCGCAGTTCAACAAAGACACTTTATAGTAAAAATATCATTTTACAACTTTCAATAATCAAGAGACTCAATAAAATAATATCATATAATTGATTATCATTTGTATAATTTGGCCTAATATTTAATATTATTTATAAAATTAAAATATTTTATTAACAGTGAATCAAATTCTAACAATAGGATCCCAGGTTTATTTGAAGTGGTTTCCAGTTTCCGGTAAAACTGGATTGGGTCCCACAAATAACTTTAATCTATTTATTAATTTGATTTAAAGGTCAACTGTAATCACTTTCTCAAACTTCAAACTTATAAATACATTAATTAATAATGAATTAAAACGTCCTTTTTTTTTTGCCGAGTCATCAATTTCAAACGGCTAATCCTACCTTTTGACCTTATCTCTTCTTTTGACAGAGCGACAGGTCCACTCACTGACCCAATGAGGAGCCATGAGTTTGACGAAACTCGAATCCTTGGCTTCTTCTCACCATAAATTATAATCATCTTGCTCCATTTCTCTTCACTTTTTTTTTTATTTTCCATTTCCACCCCTCTTTCTTCTGTATATCTATAAACTGCTTTTGCTCGATGACCGTGCAATTGATGATGGGGTACGGTGGTGGTAACAGTTTTACTGGGAAAACGGAAGAAGCTGCTTTGAGAGAAGCTGCAAATGCTGGGATTCAAGGTTTGGAGGAATTGATAAGATTGATGTCTAAAAGTCAGAAGCTTTGCAACCTAGGTGCTTGTTCAGAGCCAGCGATGGAGATCCAAGCTGTTGCAGATAACACTGTAAATTCCTTCAAGAAGGTTATTTCTTTGTTGGGTCGATCCACAACTGGCCATGCTCGATTCAGACGTGCTCCCCAACAAGAAGATTCACAACAACGTCGAGAGAAGATTCAAGTAAGAAAGGATGAAGCCTTTGGTTTTAAGCCTGTTTGTGCAACCCCAAGTTATAGGTTGCCTCCTTTGCCGAGTAAAAGCGTTATGTCTTCAGTGACTGGGGATACTGATAGCATGATGCAGCCATCTTTCTCTTCGCGATTTCAATTCACTGGTACTTCTCATGGTAAACCTCCTTTGTCTTCCTCTTTGAGAAGGAAGTGCAATTCCATGGATGCTCTAAGGTGTAGATCTTCCTCTGCTCGTTGCCATTGTTCCAAGAAAAGGTTGGTTCTTGGTCCTTGGCTTTAATTGATTTTAATTCTGAATCTTTTGATTGATTATTGTTTTTGTTATGCAGGAAATCGAGAGTTAAGAGAGTGATTAGAGTTGCAGCTATTAGCAACAGGATGGCTGATATTCCTCGTGATGATTATTCTTGGAGAAAATATGGCCAAAAACCAATCAAAGGTTCTCCTCATCCAAGGTGTGAAATTTAGTTTTTCGTTTTTTGAAGTTGACCAGAACAATAATAATTCAAGTTTGCTGCATTGAATGGTTTTTTTTTTCTGTTTTCAACTGCGAACAATAATCATACTGTGGATGGCAATTAATTGCATTGACTTTTTGTTTTTGTAACATTGGTTGAATTGCCTGCTGAGTTCTCTGAGTCCACTTCACTCGTTTCTTTGGGAAAATTTCAGGGGGTATTACAAGTGTAGCTGCGTCAGAGGCTGCCCTGCAAGGAAACATGTAGAGCGAGCTGTAGAGGACCCAATGATGCTCATTGTAACATACGAAGGGGATCACAATCATAGCCAAAACATTAGCGCTGCCCCTTTGCTCATGGAATCATCTTAAGTCCCCACCATCTATAGGATAGACCCGACGCACCATCATCTCTTTGAAAATAGTAAATTTTATATGAATAATTCTTTTTTTGTTCTCTAAATTATTATAAAATTTGTTCTCAGTATAAATTTTACATGTGTGCATACATCCTAGCATACTGGTCGAAATCTGTGTACAACAAATCCTATTGTATCTTTTTAAACAGCTAACGTAACTACTAATCAATCTTCTAGTGATGTTGTATCTGGATTTGGCGTTAAAAAAAGACTTACAGTCGGAGGTTGTCGATTAGGTGCTGGTGAGAGTTGAATCATGCATAGTGGAAGGTTTCTTTTTTGCCTATTTTTAATGCCATTTGTTAATGTTCTTGTATAGCTTATATTTCAAGGCTAATTGGTGTTGCAGTCAATAAATGAGATATCTTAATAGGAATGCAAGAATTTGTGGATAACGAAGTTAAATTATCAATAGAAATTATAAAAGAATAGATATAAAAATTTAAAATTTAAGGGTAATCATTCTTTCGTTCCGCCTTAATCCGTTTTAACTTTTAGAGAGAATTCTTGGAGAGATATAATGTGATCTCGGCAACTACTAAGGTCTATGTTATAAAGAGGAGTTGAATTAATAGAGATATTGAGATATAAAATGTTATGGACATTTTGTGACTCCACGTTTATAAGTTTATAAATAAATTATTATTTGTCTTTATTTATAAAATTAAATTAAATAAAATTATATTAAATCTTATTTTTTGTACATAATCTATATTTTTAGGTTGATCACATACAAATCCAAATATTATTATATTTTAAAAAGTATTTCAAAATAATCTGGAGGGATTTGGTGGTAGTATAGAATAAAGTGTAGGGTTTGTTATTTTCTAATTAGCGAGCACCGTTTAAAAATAGAGAATAAATTGCAAGTCAAATTAACCTATCAGGCGTGTTGATTATTGTACTCAGTTAAGGGATTTCTTGTTATTCTATGAAGATAGAGTTGGACGTAACGTTTCTTCATAAAACTTTTAACTGTTTAGGTCAAACTTGCACTGTAATCAGCTCATCTTTTTCGATTTGAAAATTTCAACTCACTGGTTATAAAACTATTCTGGATTCAAACAAAAGTTACCGTTTCTTGTTAAAGTTTAGCTGATTGAATTTGGTCAGTGGAGCCTTCTTGCCAGAGTGGGAAAACAAAACAGTCAAACGATGAATCTCAATATCACAAGTCTTTACTTTTAAACCAACAATAATGTGCTACAAACCTAGCACCTCCATTTCTGTTAAGAAGCCATCACTTGTACGTTAAGAAGCTATACCTGAATCATTTATAAACAAGGTTATAATGTGTCCAACTAAAGTAAAAGGGAGTGTTATTCCCTCTAAAGGTTCCATATTTGAGTAGCTGCATTTGTAATGTGTGTTTATTGTTAATTAGTTAAAAAAAATTCTAGACAGATGTTGCTCTGTAATCACCACGAATTAATAAAAAAAACATTTGGGCTAATCACAATGCTTACATGATTTTTCAATATTCTTTAAATTTAATGATTAAAATTAAAAATAATTATAAAGCTTAACTCGTTTCTTATTGTTGACATCAACCTTTAAAAGTTGGTGATTGGAGTTTTAATATGAGCTGGGTTAGTCCTACGTGCATCTAAATATGGATGAGGATTAAGCCCAGAACTTACTGAAGATTACGATTTAGGTCCAATAGAGGAAACCCAGATGCTGAAAAGCATAGTCCACCACGTTGATTGAAGAAAACAAAGTAGAACGCCAGAATTTGCTAGAATCCTCTATCCTTTGATCAACAAATTTGTTATTATTATTTCTCTTCATTTTTTTCTCCCAAGAAAAGAAAAAGCCGAACCATACAGCTGACATTGTAGGAGACAGAGATTCATTTATCGACGGGGAAAGGTAAAGGAAAGGACCAGATGCCATGGACAACGACATGATGAACATGGAGGCCGCCACCGCAGCGCAACCCCACCAGCAAGGACAGAACGATGTCGGTAAGGACCTGCTCGTATTGGCTCGTAACCTTGTCGATCAAGGCAAGCCTTCTCAGGCTCTTCAAGCGGTAATCTTCACAAAACCTTTTTCAATTTCATTCCCCCCCCATATTTTCTTCTTCCTCGAAGCTTAATGGGATTTGTTTATTGCTTGAGTAATCAACGTTTAACGAGTTTCCTTAGTGTTCGTAAAACTAAAAGCTGTTCCCTTAGCTTCTCGACGTTGTTATCATCAAATATGCTGCCTTAATTTCTCTGAATATTAAAATTCCTCAGGCGACCTTTTTCCTAATGGTTGTAATTAAGATAAATCATTGGCACTTTGATAGATAAGAGCACAAAACACATTGGGGAACTATGAATATATATGAAGAACAAAGGGGATTGCTGTAAGTTAGTAGTAGTGCCAAAGGAGGTTTATTTCAGAAAGATTTCTTTTTTAGAAACGTTAAATTTTGAGGTTGAAAGCAAATGCTTTTATATATTGGCATTTATTTGAGGTTGAAGCATTTTGGTTTAGGAAGGGAAATAAATCAAATATATTTGCTTGGCATTTTTCTTCTTCTTCACCTTCTTATGAGAGAAGATGGAAACACAGAATGCGAGGGAACAAAAAAAAGGGTGTCAAGTGTCAACGTAATGCAATTTCACATGTTAATTCATCTAAGTGGCTTTTACTTACTCTAGAACAATGAGGTTCTCTTGTTAATTGTGGCCTTCACTGTTTTGTTGCTTCTATCTATGCGAATAGTTTGTTGGCGGTGATTCTTTGAACTTTTCTTATCTCTGTAATTTTGGATGCTAATGAATTTGGTTCTCTCGGTATTTCATATTTTCTGATTGTCCATTCAAATGTATTACGTTTAGCAGCCTATAATATTCCTTCAGCCTTGAGTTCGTATTGTTAATTAAATATTGTTCCAACCACTTCTCACTGTAGGCTTCTGAAGACTGCATTGATGGTACAAGTATTGGTGGTAAATACCTGGCATTCGAGTTGGCCATCTTGGATCAAACTAAAATATGGCTTCTTTGTTCATCAGGTGTTTTCCGATAAATGGAGGACTGAAGTAGGCTCGCCCTTGTTAGGCTGGCAGCAATAATACAACTGAATACATGCTATTAGTTTAAGTTGGGTCCAGTAGACTAATGAGTTTTCATCTTTTAATCCTATTCTTGAACCACATCTGATTAAAGAACACTTCTTTTTTAGGGCTATATTATATATTTTTTCAAGATTTGACCTGAAAAAAGGTGTTCATCGTGCATCTTTTGGTGTGAACCAATACTTGTTTGGTATCAGCAGCTTTTCCTGTGCCTTATTTTGAGTTATAATTTAGACGTGCATTGCACCCTGGACCTTCTTGTTACTCCTATTTAATCTCTGCTTATATGTGATTGAACAGGTGGTGATGGCCATGAGAACTAGAGGCGGCGATGAAGCTGTATTTCAGTCATTGTACCGTGCTCGTGAAGTGTACAGAACTAGAATGCAAGAAAACACCGCAGTTGATCAGCTGGCTTCTCTGTTTGCTGAGTGTGTGATAGCTGAAGCCCAGCCGATAAAAGCTGAAACATTACCATGCAACACTAACGTTCCGCCAGTTGCATCAGATGCTCAGGGAACTTCCATTCTTGCCGAAACAGGCAGAATGCAAATTGTATTGGATGCATTCTCTGATGGAAGCAGCTTTATCTGTTTACAGTGTGGCGGTCTTGTTAGTAATCATCGCAAAGACGAGCATTATGCATATTGGTGCGGCCATATGTAAATTCGCTCACTTTATAGACTTCTTGCAGTGTGCTTGATCCCGAGAACTCATGTCTGCCTTGTGGAATCGGCACAACTGCAACTGGTGTACCACCTTTGACAATCTGTGTAGATTGTCTTCCATTTGCCAATCAAAAGTGAAGCAAATACGTTTCTTTGCTAATAACTAGGATACTGCACTCCAGCAGTGATAAGGTTTATGTCACAGAATATGTTTGAAATTTGATGGACTGAACAATGATGTATCATATTTATTATTGTACCAAAGTTGTTTAATCAAACACAAATAAACCCCTTTATGTACAATACAATCTTTTTCGTTTACTCAAATCATCTTTTTCGTAGCTTTAAAAAAAGAAACCATCTTTATCATAAGAACAATAAAGCAGTAGTTCTTTAAACTTTGTCAGTTGAGGATTGTGGATAACGTCATTGCTTGCTATTTTTGTGCATCTTGATATCCTTAACCAAACGGTCTATGTCATTGTAAGATGAATTGCCTTGTTCAATGGATTTCTTTGCTTGTTCCCCAAGCTTTTTGGCTCTTTTTCTCATATCCATCGACTCATCTGTATTCCCCATTACTGTATTAATCGCCATGAGAATATCATTGCTGGTTTTTATGTTTGGTGAATCCTGCGTTGCCCATACTTTCCATATCTCATTCCCAACTGACACTCCTACCTTCAGCACTTGAGTCACCAGCTTTTCATTGTAGAATTGTTCAGCGAAAATCGGCCATGTGACGAAGGGTACACCGGCAACAACCCCTTCTAGTATAGAGTTCCACCCACAGTGCGTTAAGAAGCCTCCAATGGCTTCATGTTCAAGAATCAACGTTTGAGGTGCCCACCCTCTAATAACTAAACCTCTACCGTTTTCCTTTACTTTCTCTTCGAATTCTTGCGGTAGCCATAGCTCTTGCTCTTCATCATTGCTTGTTTTGATGGCTTTCCCAACAACCCAAATGAATGAATGGTCTGATGCTTGGAGTGCATTAGCAATCTCCACTGTTTGATTCTTGTTGAACCTTGTTAAACTTCCAAAGCATATGTAAATAACAGATCTGGGTTTCTTACCATTAAGCCAATGAAGGCAATCGTGTTTTGAAACCGAAGTTTTTTCACCTCTTTCAACTTTATCATCAATGTCTCTGTTGAACAGAGAAACTGGACCAACATGCCATGCTTTGATTCCCAAAACATTCCTACAATGATCTGCATAGGCAGGCTCTAATTCATAAAAGCTGTTCATTAACATCCCAAAGCTCTTCCTTTCAGATTCCTTTAACTTATCAAACAACTCAGAGAAATGATTTCTGTTTTTAACAATGTCCGGCAACTGTGATCTCGTGAGTTTCACTTCATCAGGAAGACCTGGAACGACGAACGTTTCCGTCTCTGATGTAATTCTCTTATGAGGTTGATAGTGTGAGAGAGTCTCCGAGAGACAGAGGTTGAAGAAGCCACTACCGTTGAAGGCAAGGCGTGGAATGCCAAACTCATTGGCAATATCCAAAGTCCATGTTAAAAGAGAATCGGAGACTAAGCAGTCAGGGTGGTAATCGCTGAGAAGCCTTCTGATTTTTGGTTGAAGCAAATCAATGGCATCAAAGAGCTTCATGGTCATTTCCGGTGTCGAGGCCAAAACCAAATTCTCGCATCCCTCGGGTAATCCGACTTCAGCTGAAGGTAAAGATATGATTTCAAGTGTAATGAGTCGACCGGATTTAACATCTCGATGGATGGCATTCTTTATGCGAAGAGCATTCATGGGGGTGATGATGATGGTGACCTTGGCACCAGTAGCGGCAAATATCCTGGCCATGTCCACCATTGGCATCATGTGACCGGGTGCCATGTAAGGAAAGAACATTGCGTGTATTTGGTTTTCATTTTCGCTTGCCATCTTTGATTCTCGGATCGGTAGATGAACAAGTTGGAAAATGAAAATAGATGATCTTCTTTTACAAAGATGAAAGCTGTTTAATCCATTTGTCCAAACATTGGAACATTAAATACTGAAATATTTGTCGTAATTTACGTACCACCAACTACACCAGGGTAATTATAACAACTAAGTGTTATTTTTACACGTGGGTTTTAAGATTAGCAATAATGTTTTCCCTAAAAAAATCAAATACAGTAACCGTGGCTAATATTTACGTCACTTTGCATAATCCTTCACGGGACTTTTTGTGCTTCACATTTTTGTTTTTCCCCCGTTATTTTCAGGGAGGTAATAATGCTAATTAGGAATTGATAATTTATAATTTAAATTATTAAATTTAATTGCAACTTCAATTTATATTGTAAACTTTTAATTTTATTAAATTATATTATGTAATTTTCATTATTAATAAATAAGTCATTCATATTAATATCTTAAATAATTATAATAATAAATTAAAATTTTATTTAATATAATTTTTAAGAACAATACTAAACTAACCTTTAGTGATCATATGGACTTTACCGAGAAAAGAATTGGATGGATGCATCACAGAATACATAGGCCCATATTTTGAGGACCCAAAAGTAGCACCCCTGTTGGCTTGGATCTGCAACTTATAGCTGACCACTCGTTGATATTTAGACCTTTCGTCCTTGGCTATCCAAATAAATTTTCAGCACAGTGGAAACCAAAACAGAGCAAATCCTGCAAATGAAGCCATGAATCCTCTCTGCAATTCCTTAAAATCCCTTCATGTAAACACTACCCTCTTCCTCCCCAAATCGAAGCTCTCCTTTTCCCTTTCCCTCTCTCCTATTTCCGCCGCACCCTTCATAACCAAATCCTCGCGGCGCCCATGCCGCCTCACCATCAAAGCCGACTCCGACGCCGTCGAAATCGACATGGTTAGGAACAGGCAAGGCGTTTACGCTCCCAAACAGAAGAAAGTGGTCGTCTTGTGGGATCTCGACAACAAACCCCCGCGCGGGCCGCCGTACGAAGCGGCGTTGGCCTTGAAAACAGTTGCCCAGAAGTTCGGGGAAGTGGTTGACATGTCGGCCTACGCTAACCGTCACGCGTTTATCCATTTGCCTCAATGGGTCCTACAAGAACGCCGCGAGAGGAGAAGCCTCGACATCCTCGAACGCAAAGGAATCGTAACTCCGAACGAGCCTTACATCTGCGGAGTTTGCGGCCGGAAATGCAAGACGAATTTGGATTTGAAGAAACATTTCAAGCAGTTACACGAAAGGGAACGACAAAAGAAACTAAACAGAATGAAATCGTTGAAAGGTAAGAAACGTCAGCGGTTCAAGGAACGGTATATAAGTGGGAATCATAAGTACAACGAAGCGGCTAAGAGTTTAATTAAGCCGAGGATCGGTTATGGTTTGGCGAGTGAGCTAAGGAGAGCGGGGGTTTACGTTAAAACAGTGGAGGATAAGCCCCAAGCGGCGGATTGGGCATTGAAAAGACAAATGCAGCATTCCATGAGTAGAGGGATTGATTGGTTGCTTTTGGTTTCGGATGATAAGGATTTCGCGGAGATGTTGAGGAGAGCAAGGGAAGCAAATTTGGGGACTGTGGTTGTAGGGGATTGGGACAGGGGTTTGGGAAGACACGCTGATTTATGGGTATCTTGGGTTGAGGTGGAAAATGGGGAGCTGACGGAGAAAGATTTGGTGCCCAAGAGGAAGAGGGTGAGCAATGATGATGGGTTGTTTTCGGTTTCGGAATTCGATGATGGGAATGGGAGTATCGGGGAACTGGAGGGTGTTGTGAATGAGCTTTTAGTAGAGAGGAGTGAGTTTGGTGGGGTGAGGATCTCGGTGTTTTCGGAAGGGGAGGAGGGAGATGAGGATGAATGGGAGACTGAGGAAGATTATTTGTTGGATGATAGTGATGATGAAGTGATTTTTGAGGAAGATGGGTATTACTGATGAGGAAATTCTGTTTACTTAAGGATTGATAAAGAGATTGCAGTGTGTGTGACTTGGCTGCTTCTTTAATAAGAGTTGAAAATCCCAATTGTGGCATTTGCTCAATGTGGTTCTTCAGAGTTGTGACTGCTAATTTTATCCGCCTCATATTGTCTCTACTATTTTCTTTTGCTGGAAAATGAAATGTTACCTACGGACGAACAACTAACTTGTTTACTTTACAATCTTTTTCAGTTTCAACACCAATTTTATTAAAAACTGATCTATGGTGTAGGTTTTGAACTTGATTGTCCAAATGAAAAACATTACATACTATAAATATATTTTAGGAGGAAGACAAAAGAAAAATGCCTTCTCGCTCACCTTTCTCCTTTCCCCTCGTAAAAGCCCCCTTCCCATCCCATATAAAAAACGCTGATAAAAAATTGCTTAACTTTTATTCTATACAATAAAAATTAAGGTGCAATTCGAATTTTCGATAAAATTTTACTTGACGTTTTGTTTAGATAATTTATTTTATTTTAAGAAGAATGGTTATATTTTTATAATTATTTTATTAATATTTTACAGTTAAAAATATAAATATTTAGATTGGGTATAAAACATATTGTGATACATCAATCACTTATGATAAATAATTTGTTTTTTATTAGTTAAATTTTATAACATGTTATTTAATTCTTTTTATTATATTTATTTTTATGAATGGATTATGATATTTATTTTAAATTAATAAGACGACTTGAAGTATTTATTCATAATGTGAATAAATCTCTCCCGTTATGAAGTACTCAAGTTGAATCTAATTTGTATATGTTTCTCGGATGTGTGGGGATTGTAAATTAGAATCAACACTTATCTATGTACTTATTGAGAGGTGGAGATTCGAGACACATTTTATCTTCTGTGTTAGTAATGCATCATCACTTTGGGGACGTTTCATTATAGTTAGGGTTTGTGATCGATTGATGTGTTATGATTGGTAGGAGTATTGATGATTGGGTTATCTTGTGCCACAACTTTCTTAGGAAGATTCCATATGAGTTTAACACTAACAGTGTTGGATCTCATTGAAAATGTTCCAACAAAATTTAACGAGTTGAACGAAGATTGCTTTGAAAAAGGATACAAACATTCGTACAGACTTACATTTTACGAATCATATAAAAGTTTTTATATCTAATAAATCTCGCAATCAAGTGCTAACTGTATTATTTCGTGGATTTTAATGAAATAGACTCATTTAATTAATGATCAATAGTTTTGAATTTTTTTTAGAAAAATGTATAAAACAGCCATCTAAAAAAATATTAGTGACAAATTTCTATTTCTTCTGCAATTTTAAGTGTAGTATTACATGTATTCTATGTCCGCGTGCTTATGAACTATTTATCTGTCATTTTGAAGTTAAATAATTTTATTTCTTATTTAACAAATAAATAAATCAATATTAGCTGTGATATTGATTGTCCTCGTACACCACCAAGGATTGTTGGAATTGTTAAGGATCGTCCATTTTACTGTCAAATCCCTTATTTCAAAAGGCAAAAACATGAGAAGTAAAGCTTAAAAGTCAAAGCGATAAGGATGTCGTAATAGTATAAGCCGATAAAGTTTACATCAATCGTATGATAAAGTATGAAGCCACAAAGACCAAAGGGGTGATGGCCTACTAGCTTGTGTGTTCCCAAAACCAAAGAAAGTAGATAAGGAGATAAGGGTGAGAATTTATTACGGTTACCTATGATTTTGCTTGCCCAAGTTTTAGAGAAAAAAAAAAAGGAGTGCTCCTTTGGATCAGTGAGGGGAGGTTGCCGCCTTCATCGTTGCCGATGGCGGTGGATGTTGATAGGTCATCAAGGTGGGCTGTGTGCAGGTTTTTCTCTCTTTTCCTTCTATTAGAAAAATATGTTTATTCAAATCTATCAAATGATCATATTAGTTAAATAAAATATTATTATTTTTAGAGATTTTAAATTTTATATTCCTAATAATTTAAAATTTTTAAATTGCTATTATCTTATAATCATCCTAAATCATAAAAAAATTAAATACATTCTATTTTATTTTGGCATTTTTTTTGGGGTTATTTTTCTTTTTACTTGTAGTGAAATTTTGTATACCAAATAAGAGTAAGGAAGTTCAATATTAGTAAGAATATATAAACATATTTTCGATATGAGTTACAGTTTAAAATATACTGTATACAACAAAATATAACCTAAGGGGGAGGGGGGGTGAAAACAAAGAAGAAGGATTAAAGTAATTACCAACACAGTTAAGTAGCAAGGAGAGCCAAATTCCTGTTCCATAACCTTCCTTACAGGCCATAAACTAAAGCTGAATTGCATTTCAAAGTCAAACATAACCCATGCAAACAGAATCAAACCATTTTTCACGGATTTCATTCCTTGGGACTTGGAAGCTATTCCATTGCAAAACCATCCCATCAATCACCGCAATTGTATATATGGACTCAATCTTCGTCAGAACTTTCGGGGTACTTATTCAAATCAGGTTTCTGGAAAACTCGAGGGCTACTACTTGGCAATTCCGATGCAGAAACATGATTATGAAGCGACGACGTCTGCAAGGCGTCGACTTTAGCACCAACCTCGGTTGCTTTCTTTCTAATGGAAGCGGCCGAGATGTCTTTAAGTTGGTCCTCTTCTTGCAAAACGAGGTCGGGGAAGTTAAGCCTCGCCGAAGGGCCACGCAGGTAGAAAACGGCGGTGTCATAGGCACGGGCGGCGGCGATGGGTGTAGTGTAAGAGCCGAGCCAAATCCTAGACCTCTTGTTCGGTTCCCTGATTTCAGCCACCCATTTTCCCCACTTCCTCATTCTTATCCCTCTAAAAGGTTTCTCCTTTTGTTGTTTCCTTTGCACCTTCCTCTTCTCTCCACTCGTCCAACTTGAACTTGAGAAACAATCACCTTCCATGGCAGAAAACATTCAAGAAAAGTAAACCTTAAACGAATTGAAAATCCTTTAAGAGGATATTGGTTTCCAGAAATTAAATCATGAAAGCGATAACAAAAACAAGAAGAAAAGATATCTATGTTTGTTTAATCAGAGAATAGCCTTTGCTTGAAAAGGCATTCTCGGTATATTATATACAAAAATGCTTAGCAGTATAGTTTCCCACTTGGCTGCTAGTCTGTCGTCTGGGCACGGCCGCCACATTGATCAACCTTGAAGATAAATCCAAATTTGGCCGACATAATCCCTCATCTCCGCCTCTTAATTTATCTTAACCTTAAAATGGTATATACATAAAAATACTAGTTAAAGTATCACAAATTTAAGGAGATAAATATCAGAGAAATATGTTAATAAATCGGGAAATAAATCTAATTTTTATATAGAAGCAAAGGAGAAAAAAAAAAAGTCGGTGGTCGATAGCGGATAGCTATGGAGAGTGGCTTCTCTCGTCCACGCAATAAAGATGGATCCATCTATTTTATTTTAGTGGAAATAGAAAATGGGTTAATTTTTAATATTATTTGATTGTGTCAATTGTCAATCGTAATCATCTGATTATAATTTAAGACTTTTTTAAACAAGGGAGTAGCGGTGTAAGTTTCCCCGTCAGAATGTTATTTTCTTTTAAATTTTAGTTTAAATAATTATATTTATAAATGTATATAAAATATTAATTAATTAAAAAATTATAAATAAACATTACCTTATAATCAATTAAAGGTGTGTTTGGTTGGGGGAATGTGAGGTTCCCATGTAAATGAAATCTGTATTCCCCCGTTTGGTTGGCAGGGAATGTCATTTCCAGTAATCTTACATTACCAATAGTGAATTTTTTGGGGTATATTATCGGGAATGTCATTAACTCTCTTTCCTTAGGTATTGTTGGATTATCGATGTTTTAGACTAAAATGTCCTTAATTTTTTTTTTTCAAAAATATCCTTATTCTGTCATTAAATAATAAAAATTCTACGAATATTAAATTATAAATTTATCCTTAAAGTATTTTATATTTACAAAAATAAGTCTATAATTAAAATTTTATATGAAGTTCAAAGGTTAAAAATAAAATTTTACTCTTTTATTAAACCTTTTTATATTTTCAATTTTGTAAAAAAAATTATATAAATTTTATGAATTTAAATTTTTTAAATAAAATATATAAATATTTTCTAACTTATTAAAAAACAAATATATAATAAGGATAATTTGGTTAAATATGCATTCCAATAATCTTTTATTCATTTAACCAAACACGGTAATCTTACATTCCTGCTAAACCAACCAAACACAAAATACAACATTCTCAGTAATTCTATTCCCAAGTAATCTTTTATTTCTACTGATAATCTTACATTCTATGAACTAAACGTACAAACCCTACTTCCCTCCACGATCCATCACTTGGACTGAAAATTTTCTGCAAAGGGGGTAGGCACCGTTTGCTTCTTCCAGTTGTCCTCTATTACATGTGGACGTTGAATCAAATTTAACATAAATAAAAAATGCTGCAATCTTCTTTTAATATTATTTAACAAATTTAGGAATATACATTCCTTGATAAAAAGCATTCTACCTTTTCTTTATAAAGTTTTTGTCACACTTTTTGATATTTTCTTATAAATTTTATTTTAATGAATCTAATCATATGAATTTTAAAATATATAAAAAAAATAGAAAAGAGAAAAAAATAACTCTTCTACAAATCTGGGTTTTTGAATAGTGAAGTGGTTGCGTATCCAACAAATTGATCTGGGAGGTAATCTAAAGTCAAGATACATTTAACCTATCGTGCATACAAACAAGTCAACAGCAAAGTACTGTAAAAAAAGACTGAGATTTATTTCGTATTAAATAAGAACATGCATGGTTGGTGACACAGGTCCCGTACGGACTATGAAATCGGCAATGAAGACCGTTATAGTAACTATATTACATGGACGTGGCTGAAAAAAATCCAATATGTTATCATAGAATGGCAAAGAATTAATATATGAATCTGATTAAATACATGCTCTGTCTTCAAATATGTAAATAGGGAGAAAAATATGTATTATTTTTTTTCAAAAGGAAGTGTGTATAATATGTTAATTTTACATTTATAGACTAAAGGATCATATATCACATAAAACTCTAATCCTAATAGATATCGAATTCTTAATAATAAAATACGTCATAGATATATTTAATACATAAAATTCTAATCGTAATAAATATCCACAAACAATAATTATTCATAGGATGATGCTGTCACACTCAATGAGCACATATGAGTATCTTAATGATGAACACCATTAAATTAATTTATAAAATATTAAATTATAAAATACTAAACGTATAATTATTAATTAGTTAAAAATCTAAATGTAATTTAATTAAAATATAATATTTATAAAAATATTAGTTTTTTATGGTAAACTATAAAATTAACCACCTAACTATTTACCCCTTTTACTTTAACCCCTGATTTTTTAATTTTATCAATTGGGTCACCTAACTATTTAAATCTTGTCAATCAAGCTTTCTGCCGTTAAATATTAACGGATGAGATGATGTGACCGTTAATAAAATTTGTATAATTACACATTTAGTCCTCATTACTTACACATTCTATTAATTTTGATCCTAATTTTTATTTAATTAAATAAATTTAATCCTCAATCTGATAGTGACATGTGTCACTATGTGATTGGATTTTTTAATATTTTTTATTTAATAAAATTTCCATCCAATCAAATGGTGTCACGTGTCACCAATTGAATGAATGAAAAATAAATTAAATCAATAACCACTATAGGAGAGGTTTGAACCTATGAAGCAAGCTGAAAAACTGAGCGTCCTAACCACTAAGTTATACCACTAATTTGTCTAGTATACAAAACATAATTTATATAATTTATAATATAGTTAATGATAATAAATGAACTTATAAAGACTCGGACATGAAATAGTTTAATAGTATGAAAATATAATATATATATATATATATATATATAAACAAATATTATAATTGATTAATAAATAAATATATTCTATTTATATTTTAAATCACATTTAATGCAAAAAATAAAAATAAATTTAATATGTTATAATTGAAATGTATCATTTTACAAATTTTAAATTAATAAATTGTCTTTATTATTCTAATTTTATTGAACTGAAATGTATCATATCTTATATTTTAAATTATTATAACGTCGATCGATTTCTAATCTTATTTAACAACTCTATACTAAAATAATTCAATAAAATCAAGTTTCCCCTAAAATTTTCTTCAAATATATAATAAATAAATAATAAAACATAAAATTCTTACTCTAATCGGGATATATATAAATCAATGCACAAGTTAAAATGTTTACTACGATAAGCCCTAAACTATCAGAAAAATTCTAAGTCAACGATCTCTTCATTATATTTCAATTATAATATATTAAAATCATATTTATTTTTATTTTTTATTACAATGATTTAAAAAATAAATAAAATACTTTCAAATATTAATTAGTTATAATATTTGTGTATATATGTCATTATCGTATTATTCAATTATTCCATGTTGGAGTTCTTAGGTCATTTTCCCTTTTTTATTTCCATTAATTATATATATATTATGTCGTGATAGGCTTGTCATTTGAATGGTGCAACTCAGTGGTTGGGGCATGCTCTTCCTCTCCTCACATCTTGGGTTAAAACCCCACCAGTAGCAGTTATTGATTCAATTTATTTTTTGTTGATTTATCTGGTGACACGTGGCACCATTTGATTGGATTGAAAATTTATAAAATTAAATAAAAATATTAAGGAAAAATCCAATCACATAGTGACACATGTCACAATCGGATTGAGGATTAAATTTATTGAATTAAATAAAAATTAGGATCAAATTAATAGAATATGTAAGTAATTATGACTAAATGTGTAATTATACAAATTTTATTAATTATCTTATGATCGTGTGTATAAGTGTGTGTTGTGGCACGCAAATTTGTGCAAGTATACACAATCGATGCAAGTAATATAGTATTGAGTGAGTATCATCTCCACAGGGATTAGAGGGTTTTTAAAAGATTGCTACAACTAGGAATATGTGTCACTAACTAATCCTTAGTATCTAAGTCTAATGATAAAATATGCAGTGGCAAATAGTATGAAGAGATGGAAAAAAGTATGGTTGAGACAAGAAAATTTTTAAAGTGAAGTGAGCAGAAACGTTTTGTCGAGTCAAGAAAAATATACAAAGGTAAACAAATAAAAGTTGTCAAGGCTAAAGCTGTCAAAACTCTGTAAATAGACTAGCAACCTCACACAATCAAACTTCTAAAGGAGAACTTGGGTTGGATTTGATACGGCGAGAAATTAATCTATGGCTAAGATGATCTAGTATGATATGCCTATGTTGCCCGACAGGATTTACTAAAGTATTATAGGACTTTTGCTACGGAAATACTACTCGAGTGAACTACAACCCTTGGTTTGTCAAACTGTTGCTGCTGAAATACCCCTCAACATAAACTGTAGCTGCTGCAATACCCCTCAATGTAAACTGTAGCTTTTCGCCTATCTTATTCAAGTATTTACCTTTTTAGTCAAATGAAACTCTCTTTTTATCTCTAAGGCGGATTAGAACCTCAACATCCCGGATTAGTTTCATTGTTCACATAGATCTAACCTAACTCTCTCGATATTAGGTATCAACTCCTATAAAAATAACAATATCTCAAAAGCTTTTACAAAGACTATGAAAGTTTTGTCGTGGCACCAAGCAATCCCTCAAAAGCTCTTACAGTGTCAATGCAAAAGATTCAAACAGTGAACAAAACAACACTTCACAAGAACATACTTAATCATTCATTAACGGTAAAAATAAAATATCATCCAAGCATTTTCAACACCAAATAAAATAGTTTATGGTGTAATTAATATCATCCAAAAATCAATCTTTAAGTACAAGCTCTTAAAAGATAAGAAATAAAGAACAAGAGGAAGAAAAACTCCCAGAATAGAGTTTTGTCGTGACATCAGACCACCACCATGACTGCTCTAGAGCACCAACCTCTCTCGAGGGCCTGGCCGTTGCTCCGACGAAGCCTGGCTATGGAG